CCCCCCCAGAAGCCCGCTGAGGAATTGAACCCTGCAGCAAAGTCTGACCAGCAGCCTACCCGGATTCGGATTGATGTAGGTGGGAACTTGAATCTGCCAACTGAAAAGACTGTTCTTCGTCGAACTGATCTGCGCGGATTGAGGGACTCCCAAAGGGGGCGGGGCAAAGGTCGAGGTCGGGGTAGACGTGTCATCGATGACATGGAAGAGGATTTGCCCCGGGTAGATGGAGGTGAGGAGGGAGTCATGGAGGATGAAGAGGCAGATCCGGAAGCACCAGCCAAATCCAAGAGACAGCAAAAACCGCGAGCAAAAGCAAAGGCAAAAGCCCGTGCGAAAGCAAAGGCAAAAGCCCGTGCCAAAGCAAAGGCAACAGCCCGTGCAAAATCAAAGACAACAGCCCGTGCAAAATCAAAGACGACCAAAGCAAACGGGCAACCAAAGGCCGTGACTGCCGACCAGTCCACCGAAGCCAAAGCCCCCAAGAGAAAGGCAGCCCCGCGCAAACCGGCTAAGCCACCAGCAGAACCAGTCCAAAAGCGAAAGCGAGAGCCTGCAACCAACCAGGCACGTGGAACATCGAAAGCAATCCGTCACGAGCATCGAGATGAGTTCAAGAAGCACTTAGCTTGAAGCCAGCATATATGTTTCTTGTTGGTGAGTCACAAATATATATATATATTTATATACATACGTATATCAGTATATCTATAGATAAACCACATGAATGTGGACTGGTGTGTCCTGTTCATTTTTACTGTTTCGTTTTGGCTCTTACCCGTCAAATGTAAACAACACAGCAACTGCAGATTTGGGCTTACCAATCTCAGGCATATCCGTTCATTCACCAAGTGGCGGGTTGAAGCGTACTGGACTCGATGCCAGTCTGGTGTCCGTTCGAAGATTGACGGTAAGCATGTTTTTCTTGCGGCTGATGACAGCATGATGAAGAACATTTCTTGGTGCAATTCTGTGGCCACCAGTTTGCACACATGCAAAAGCACTCTATGCCTGTGCACTTTTCCAAATGTTCCAGTCAAGGTTTGCCATGAGTTGTTCTAAAGTGTGGTGGGTGTTTTGTTATGGATCTGAGGCTGGATTGATGGAGGCTAATCCAGATATGGATCCCAAGAGTGAAGAATTCACGAGGGCCGTGAATGATATCAAGAGGACTGTACAGTGAACAGCCTATTGCTCCACATAGGCGTAGGTGCTTTCGCAAAGTTTTGAGCCAGGGCTGCTTAGGATTGAGAAGTCGTGCAGCCTTGGAGGTGTTTCTTGAATGATGGTATTTCTCAAGATGTGTGCAGTGCGACCTCCGCACTGTGTCCAATCCGCACATGCATGGATGGATGGGTAGATCTTACCGTCGAGCTTAAGACTTTGACACGAGTTGGAAGTGGGTGAAAGAAAATTTTAGATCTGTGGAAGTTCGTTTGGTTTGAAAAAAGGTTTTGCATTGGCCGGACATGGACAAACCTTTGGGATGAAAATGTATTCGAAGTCTTCTATGAATGCTGTGTTCTCTATATGCAACATTTTCTTGGCCCGATAGCCATGCCCCAGGTCAAGCCATGCCCCGCAGCAACAAGAAGTTGCTGAAGCTGCTGGCAAATGAACAGGGACAAGGCCAGCAAATGGAGTGGGTATATCATCTCCTTTATGCATGTG